ACGCCTCCAGCTTTCTAAGATCGGCGCACCTTCCGGGTGCGGAACAGAGCAGCCGCGATGAAGACAGAACCCACGCGGACTTCGCCGATGCTAATTTGTTCAGCTCGGTGACGAGTGACGATAAATCACCAACATCTGGAAGCATCCCTTACGAAAGGGCAGCCACTTCCCAGCCCGATGTCTTTGAGTCCATCTCGGAGCAGGGGGTGCAGGAGATCCCACCGCGGGTTCCGCAGCACGTGGTCAACCAGAGACCAGCAGCAAAGCTGATGAGAGGGCAGCTTGCTTGAAGAGACCAGGGATTGCTCTGTACTCACGTCCTGGAATATGAAACCCACACTTGTAGGCAAGGGAATGACGGCTGTTGGGAGGGTTTGTCAATTGCCCAGGCTTTGCCTTGGATGTCTCAGGTCTAGCATGGGTTTTGACGACTCGATTGCAGGGCAGCCGGTCAAGCGCGGGAACTCAAAGGCCTCAATCCAAATCTATCTCCCTATCCGCCTCAGTGATCCATTGCCGGTTTATGATCGGCATGGCTTTTGCGGCTTGCATCGTGTGGCACGTGTGTCATCAAGGGTAGATTGTCACATCTTCCAGGCAAGATGCTTGCGCACGTAGGCGCATTTGTCTACAACTGTCTGCAGGCGTCAGGTGTCGATCTTGAAGTTGATGACCTCATGGCTGGCCCTTTGGCGGTGTCTGTGGAGGACGTGTTGCCTTTGAATCCAGATGGGGATCTACGGTTTGAGTGTCGTGCAATGGCTCTTGGGGGGTGACTGTCAGAGGGCATAAGCTTCAGATCGAGAGCAATTGCTCTTGGAAGGAGGTGTGAAGTAGAAACGCAGGCCCCCGGTCCGTGTACAAGACGAGATTGCCAGCCTAGAGAGGTAGCAGTGTCACAACAACCCTCGCAGATGCTGCCCACAGCCAACGGGACTGGCGACTAATGCTGTGAGACATCAGATGCAAACATTTTTTTGAAGCTGCATTTCCTGAGCTTGCTAGCAATATACTATCTTGCTGGCAGACTTGGCAGTAGCGCAGCCCATACAAGTCCATGTCAGCGTCAAGCATTCCACGTTTCAGGACCAAAGCCCTGTATCTCGTCAATCATCCCGTCAAGGCAGGGAGAAGGTCCAGCGCAGTGATGATCCACGTTGTGAGAATTTGCTTAGAAGTTCAAACTTTCAAACTACTGGTAGAATCAGTGTCAAAACTGTCGTTAGAAATTCTCTAGAGGATGAGGCTACTGATGGCTACAGGAACATGAAGCTCTGCAATGCCACTTGAGCTACATGCAATGGTTGGACGTCGGCGGTCATCTGCCATGCCCCTGGCCAACAGTATGGTTGGGGCATGGTCTTGGGAACAGCATGCCAAGAATTATACCAGAAATCGTGGAAGTAGAGAAGGGGAGTTTCTGCGACGTGCTGATAAACGCCAAGCCCCAAGTGCTCGGTGCCCATGGATGGGGGGGGCTTGTATTTGTCAAGCTCTATATGTGCACCCTACCCGGTGGGATTCTGCAAGTGTTTCTGGGCACAACTTGCGAACTCGTGTTGCTCGCTGCTTTCCGACCGCACATGACCGCACGAAAAGCAAAGCAGCAAGCGAGGATGCAGACTAAGTCTGAAAGCTCCATGCTTAAAGTTGGTGCCGCTAGATCGCCACCATGGGTTCAGCAATAGACAACACCAACTGCGACTTGCGGGAAGAATTGCTGGTTTGGCCCTCACGCGACACTTCTTCAAGCATATCAAGACGGAGCTTCCGCTCTGTCGCTGATATGTTCAGCAACACTTGCGCATGTGCTTGGATTTTGAGATGCAAGCAATGCGCTTCTCTTGTTGCCGCTTCTCATTGTTTGCTCAGCAGGCTCTGGTTGCCGCACTGCGTGCATTCATATTTGAGACTGTGCGAAAACGAAAACAGTTTTGCCTTAAACACATCTCTGGAAGTGTACATTCGATCGGCACCACAAGGCAGGTGTGTTGGAGGGAGGGCAGGTGGCACAAGTGCGCCTGAAAGTGACCCGCAGCAATTGAACATATCAGAAATCAGTAGACGCTGCAAAACGCGAACCCGTTCCAAAATGCAATAACTGCTGGAATGTGCACGTGCCAGGGGGCAGCATGTCTCCGCGTCCAGGTGGCTTGCATGCATTCACACCCAACTTTATCCGCACGGGAAGCTGCAAGCTCAAGCAGGGAAGATCTTCTCATCGCTAAGGTAGCAGCATGGCTGGGAGGGCTTTTTCGAACAGGCAGGCCTCTTGTGCATCATGGCCAGCGGTCAACATGGCACATCTGGTTGGCAAGGGATAGCATTCTCAAGGATCATGCATTGCTGTTCTGTGCAATGCAAAGACAGATCGTGCTGGCTTGAGTTTTCGGAGTGCGGGCATCACAATCAAGAACCGCGGTCAAGTCAGGCAGCACTGTTGGTACCTTTCAATTTCCGACTTTCCATAGTCCTGGTGCAGACTGGACCGAGCTGTACTGCGACAATCCTGAATAAGCATTGGCTACTCTCTCATTGACGTATAAGGCAAGGCACTACGCAGGCCGCTGTCCTTTGCATATTCGGGCGCATGACTCGCGCCAAAGCCAAACATTACTCGAGATCCGCCAAGGGCTGAATCTGATATTGGAGGACTTGAAGCAACTCAGAGCGGCTCCTGATGCCCAGGTCAGGTCAGGTCGTTCATGAATTTGATTTTTTGTGCAAAAAGCTTTTCTGCCGCTGGCCATACTTGCGGAGGTCCTGCCCATCAGCTCCCCCACGACCGGGCAGCAGCGCATCACCCAGGAAGAAGACCTCCTCCACTATGAATGAGCCAAGGTTGCAGCTAGGGGGTCCTTCAGATTCTGTGTCTTTCTACAATAATATACCACATTCTTTACTCGTTGTGCTCCACATGCTGCACGCGTATGTGGAAAAGGCTTTCGAACGGGAAGCTAGGGTGGCCCAGCGTTTGCAAATCATGGCTTCCGAGCTTGCGCTCAGGACATGGATGCGGTGCCTCCGCCAAGTGGAGCAACTTTGTCTAACTAACTAGCAAAGATTAGTCAGCAAAGCTCTCCTGCCGCAATGATGACACACAACGTGCAGTGGGTCGCTGCCGCAGCGAACATGATTTGGATCCCCAAGCTGCCCATGAGCAAGTCTGGTACATTCTGTTACCACTTGATTGCGTACCAGATGGCTTTGCAATGCTCTGCCCAAGATATGGCTTCCGACGCTATGAAAGTGCTGGGCTCATAAGGCACGGCCAGTGTCCAAGCCCCCGCTGAAGAGAGCAACGACTACCTCTTTCACCATGGATGAGAACTGCGGGACCAGATGCCATTCAGATGCCATTGCTACACAGCATATAAGCTAAGTACCGCGTTCTGCACCCCATCCTCAGTTCGCTGAGAACTCAGCACTGGCTGCAGTGCCCGAGGCATGTGCTTGAACCTGACACATTTCTCATGAAACCCCGACTTCCCTGAAGTTCTGGGATGTTCTTCGGCGCAGGGACGGGGGCAAATCAGATTCTGGCTCTGGAGTGGCCAGCTGTTAGCGGATGCTCTGACTCAGGTGGTCCTGACTTCCAGTATTTGGCATGTGCAGTTAGCATTGCAGAAGTCAAGCTTGGATCATGCAATGCTCGGGCTAAGACCGTGGACGCCTGACATAGCCTCTCCTGGCTGCAGGAACTTGGAAGCACGCACACCTGCCCCAGCTCCGAGATTTTCAACTGCTTCTTTGCTTCATAGGCCTGTTTTGGTAGGCTGGGACGTTGTGTTTGGTCTCACCCTGAGGAACGACCAGCTTCAAAGGGTGGTGGAGCTGGATCAAAACTCGGGGCTTCGACCATCGAGATGTCATCAGCGCCGACAGACGCCAACAACTCAGAAGACGGCTTTAACGCAGCATTGTTAGCGGGCGCGTAAGCACGACATAGCACGTCAGTCCACGAAGGATGGCAAAACTCAGAAAAAAATGGAGTCAGACTACGATTGCCATGGACAGCGTGCTCATGCATGCCGTGGTGTAAGATGTAGATGAGCGAAACTCTGCCTTTGCAAACAGTTGAAAAGGCAAGGAGGCTGGAAAAGCTGCGCGTCACTGACATGTCAATCCCAGGGGCGCAGAGCTTCCACTTCCAAAGGAAAGCCTGCGGCTTGGCTGGTGATTATTCACATTTTTGCATTGTGATCTCTGCTCATGGAACTAGGCAGGCTGGAGTCCGCTGGAGTCGGTTGCTTTTTGGTGTTTAGCTGTCAGGGTGGAGATGACCAGCAGCCCGGCAGATTTCAGCTCGACGCTTCACACTATGACAGCTCTAGGCCCGTTTGGATTGCGCTAGGATTTAACCGGGGCATTCCTTTCACTTTACACCCATGGCATCCCAAGGCCCCAACAGAAGTAGCCTGTACACTGCAACTTTGCCGTCATATCTGCCCATCACTGCTTCAATCAAGCTTCAAAGAAGCTTCGAGGCCGAGCCCGACCGGCGACAGCGGTGGCCGTGCGCGGCGCTTATCGCTCATCCCGGCAGGACATGGTGTTCACGAAATCAGGGGGCCGCTTAGAGTCCTCAAAAAAGAGATCCCATATTCGAATTGGAGAATAAGATGCATCAGGCGCACAATGCCGTATTATGCTGTATTCATTCCCAAGGAGCGCCCAGCTTTTTGTGGCGGGCAGTTTCTAGTTTGGTTTATGTTGCAGGTACGTCAACATCCCTTGGCTTTCAGGTGTAGCCTTCAGGCAAGCAACAGTTCGTTGTTGTTCACATCTAAAGCAGTGATCGGCGTCACACTTGCGCCCCCTGGCCACCTTTTAGCATAGCGCACAGGACAACTCCAGCGGCAGCTCTCCTTCGCTGATGAATCCTTGGACGAGGTCACAGCCAGCATCTGCGAGGAGGAGCCTGATTTGGATTGGCTTGATGCCTGGCCAAGATGACCTTTTACTTTGCTTCGAAGTCCTGATGCAATTTGTTTGGCGAAATGCTGCTGCATCGTATGTCAGAAGAATTGCAGCCAAGGAAGACTTCTGGAATCGTGTGCTGGTGGGATCACCCCCTGCAGAGTGCAAGGGCCTCTCCACACGCTCCATCAGCTACTGGGTGCGCCTGCGTTTGCTTGGAGTTGGAGTTTCGTTCTGGTCCGTTGCAACTGCTGCTAGGGCAAGGTTCTGGCTTTACAGGAGACAGAAAAAAGATGTGGCCACCTTGCTTTTAATGTTTAGCCTGGAGATCATGTTGCAAACAGACTGTCCTGTCCTAGCACCGGTTTCTGACTGTCAGTGGTCATGGTATTCTGGACTACCACTGGGAAGAACCCAGAAGCATTGAGCTTGAATGAACGTGTGGGGCCATGGTAAAATTTGTCTTACGTCGCCCTTGCTTGTCCCAGATCGGAATCTTCAACAGATGGCAAGCGCTGGGATCCTGGATGCTTGGCAGTGGTATCGGATCGTCAAAGCAGCGGAGATTGTTTTTCACGGAATGCTTGCCAGCCAACATGTCAAGAGGGTCACAAGAAGGCACTCTCGTGAAGGATTGTGTTGAAGAAGCAGCTGTCTTTGGTCCGCAGCATGCATAGAACTGTGCCTCGAACTTCAGCAACCACTTCACTCGACATGCGCAATTGTGCCAGTCTGCTGGCACTTGCACAATCTCACAGCACTACATACAGAACACCAGCGTACTGAAACTTGGCTTCTGTCGGGTGTACGTTGTGTAAGGAAGCCCGGGAGCGCACCCAGGCCGCGAGACGCATTAAGATTTGTTGGCATAGCTCAAATTTCCCATGAAATGATGTAGGACGGCTGTGGGGTTGACGCTAGCAAAGTGGCCACTTGAATATGCGTCCTCCCGCTACACGCTGCAGAGCAAGCAACAGCTTCTGTGCACAGACTTGTATGAATTACTGCCAACTGGCAGGGTGAGGGCGGGGATGGTGAAGGGGCCATGCGCTGACAGACGTCCTCTGCATTGGCCTTACACGGCCTTAGTCAACGACATGGTGATGTGCCCCTATGCGTGTGACCAAGGTTCCTGGACGCGTACGAGTTGCAGGAGCTGCTGGGTGTTCCCATGCCGACTCCTAACTCAGCTTGTAAGCTTGTCCCGGCTGAGGGTGAAATGCGCATTCTCTTCGTTTCTCCTGTGTAACGCAACGCCTGAACACTGCTGAAGCCTTAACCATAAGGAAAGCCCTGGAGTGGGTGAAGCTATTCGATCCGCAAGCATATTCCCAACTGCAAGCCACAAGGCCAGGACAGCGATTTGGCAATGCCAGCATAATCACTCGCTTGAGCCGAAGCACGTGCTAGAGATGATATGACTACTAGGATTATCTATGATAAGCTATCTCAGCTTTGGCGGGCAGTTGTGGAAGCTTCGGAATGCCGCTCTTATTGCCCTGTGATGGCATAATTGCAGTTGCAAGCAACGCTCCAGATTATCGAATTGTTGATTCTGAAGCTTGAGAGGTCGGCTATGGATCACAAAAAGGTGAAAATCCTGGTTCCGGCATTCTTGACGTGTGGCATCTTTCTCTCGACGACGATATCCAAGAAGCAGAAAATCCGATTCCTGCAGCTCTGCCGATCAAGAACCAACTGACTAGATGGCTGAACGATGCGGAAGGGGTAATGCCGCTTTGGCTTCAAACTGAGGTTGGGCATGTTTGATGAGGATGACAGTCAGACATTCGAGTCGTCTGAGTTTGTGGAGATGATCCTCGAAAGCATATTAAGCATGTGCTTAGCTTTCTTGTAGCCCCATGTAGCTCACAGGACTTTAGACACTGCAATTGCTCTTGATCTCAAACGTGTGCGCTTGCATGTGTAGAGTTTAGAGAGCACATTTCTGCAGATTAGCCCGGGCCGCTGGCACCCCTGCAACGATCGGAATGCATGACACACGCTAACCGTCTTGCGGATGTATTGAGAGCAGTTCTGCGGTGGTCAGCAAGTTAGTGGTTTAGCGCTATGCCAAATACATCCAGCTTGGCCTGTTCAAGGATCTCCGCATTCTTCTTCGGAATCGCCTGTGCGTTTGGACTCTTGGAGTTCCCGCACATCGTTCCAAAGAGCCTTGTCTGAGGGTAGGTCAGAAGGCACTTCATACATAGTTGCTTTGCTCAAAGCCTGTTTGAGATGGCAAAGCATGAGCTGTAAACCGTGAAAGATGATGCGCAATCTATCGCTGGAAGAGTTGTCGTGGCTGTTCTCAACCAGTTCCTCTGTAGAAGAAACATGTTGCAGAATTGTCAATCGGAGGCCCAGCATGCGTCAGAAACTCGGGAAGCACTTGTTTGACCGTCTGGTATCGGCGGCTTGCTGCAAGATCACCTTCTGGGAAGCAGCTTTGCTCAAGAAAAGGGGGGCATCTCACAACTACGTCTCGGCTCTGGTCGCAAATCATGTTCCCAGCGTAAGCTCGGCAAACAAGGCCAAAAAGATCAAAGCAGAGGATTCTGCACCTTTCTGGCTTATTGAAGAGCAGCTCATCTCCAAAGCGAATAATGGCTAGAACTGACGGCTAGGACACGATTTGCCGATAAGTTCTTTATTGCTGAAGCTTCAAGACCAGCGAGTTTGGGTTTAATCTCGTCGTTTGCATCAAAAAGCAGTTCAGGGCACAAAGGAGGATGGTTGTTCTTCTTCTGCTTCTTGATTTTGGTAGCGTGCCTGTACTCAAGTGCCTGTCTTCGTGCGGATTTTGCAAGCTGATAGACTCAGAGCATTTCGGGCGCTTAGGACTAACATGTGAGCAAGATCATAACGTGTGTAGGTTTAGTGTGAACATGTTTGCAAGATGAAAACATTCGTGGGACTAGCGCGAACATGACAGCAAGATAATAACCTCGGCGTAGCATCCATGGCATTTAATTAATGAGAGCCTGCTAACTCAGGCCGGCAAGCATGCCGGAAAGGCCTGACGAACACATGGTTCACACATCATGCAACACCGTATACGCCATCCATAAGACTTACAATCCCGAATGGTTCCCTCTTTGTATTGAAAGTGCTGTCTACCCCTGGGCAAGCACAACATGCTATGAAAGCCACGGCTTTATGGTCCTCCCCCATGTTTTGTTTTCCTGCACTTTGAACTCGGTGTTTTCGCTAAAAGCCTTTAAAACCATGAGCCGTCACTGTGTTTTTGCTCCTGTGTGAAACAACGCAAAAGACCGCTTGACTTGAAATCTTCAAAAAACCAGGGTTTGTGCCCCCAACCAAATCTTGCTAGCGCCAAAACGGCCAAGACGCAAGGCACACCACCAGGCATGCCACCTTGTCTTTGTATGCTTGTGCTTATTCTTTTGTGGCGTAGTCTGTCCAGGTGGTTTCTCGGCGAGTCTGGAGACCCGCTCTCTGCTCCCTTTGCCATGTTCTTAGAGCGTTTTTCAGTCCGCGGCGTGGATGACGACCCTGAGTTTTTCGAGGGCGAGGACAGGCTGTGCCTGTGGAAATCTATAGAGCACATCTCTTTGTGTGTTTTGCAATTTCTTTCTGCCTAGCATGGAGTTTGACAGTTGTTACATGCATCCGTCTACCGGGTAATGTTTGATGGCATTAGAGGGAAGCCTTCCCCCCAAGGTTTGGTTTGCAGGGAAAGGTGAGTTGCAGTAAGGGTGGAAAAACAGGGCTTCCGCAAGCTGTGGTTTGCAGCTGAAGTGCAGACTGGCAGGATAGGAGGTTCAAGTTGTCTCACACGGGCCCGGTGGAGCCGCCCTTGGAGACTGCAGCTTCGCTGGACTCGAGCTCCTTAGCAAAATGTCTGATGAATGATTCACCTGAGTGGCGGCCAAAATGCTTGGGTCGCAAGCCTGTTCAGACTGAAGGCATGTCTCAAACACATTTGTTGCGGGGATTTTTGGTCATGTCGGGGCATTATCCTGTTCAGAACTCAGCCGTTGACAGTTGGACAACCTGGAAACTTACGAGAGAAAGTTTCCATGGGGGTTCATCCGAACTGCAAATTATGCTCCGGCAGGCTTCATGCGTCGTGATGAGGTAGGCCACTGGCGCAGCACTTAAGTTTGGCAGGGGCTACGCGAATCGTGTTGTCGGACAAATTCGATGAGCCTTTGTGCATGCCAGCGCCTCCCACTCACATGTAGTTTAAGCAAGCTTGCCGGCAGGCCAGATGCATTTTTGAAAGCGCAAAGGTCCGGTCCGTCACTACTGCCAGAGAGCTCAGGCACTGTGCGGGACATATTCAACGAATGCCAAAAGCAGCTTGATTTTTCGCTCTCTCATGCAGAAGCTGAACGCATCTCGGCAGTCAGCTGATGCGCTTGCAGTTGCCTGGAGACTCTGGGGGCAAACTTCTGCAGATGTAGCGGCTGGCAGGGATTATAATCTGTTCCAGGACGACATGCACAGAACTCCATAGTCAGGATGGGTTTGATCAATCAGTGCCAGCAGACCAAAAATGATAATGCTTGCAAGGTGCTCTTGGAGTGGCCATCGATCCAGATTTATGGTGCAAGCGTGTTGCCAGAGGCAAGTGTCTTCTAGTGGGAAGCAGACAGAAGCCCGGATTGACCTTGTTTTTGGAGCGGGGCTGCATTTTGTTGAGAGTCAGCTTGAGGCTTAGAAGAGATGGAATTCCTGCGAGAGAATGGCCAGAGACTTGTCGGGAACCGTTTGATAACGTCTCCGTCTTAATTTAGTCAGGCCTGCGCTGAGCGCCACATGGCGTGGAGGGCTTCTAAGTTGGTGCTTCATGCTGCGCGCTCTTCTTGATGGTGCCTCATTGCTGGGTTTAGGAGAATCTGCGTAGGGCTTCAAGGAAGGCTAACCTTTAGGCCTGCCACCACGAAACGCATCTTGTTTCATGTGTCTTCTGTGCCGTCTCAAGCTCCGGATGACTAGGCTGAAGAACTTTCAGATCTCAAAAACTATTGCCCTCCATGTCGGCATGCAAACTGCTCGTGTTCGCATGACTGTCGAACCGTCGTGTGACCAATTTTAGCTTGAGTTTGAGCATGCCGGGCTTGGTCGCTGAGGAAAGTCAGTTTGGGAGTGTTCCTCAAGAAGCTGTGCCCAAACGCAAAGCCTCGCCACCTCCGCATGTTCCAGACTTGGCTGAAGGAGTCTCCTAGCCTGCAGAGATCTTTCATGTGCGAGGTTATTGCAGCAGATGCATCTGAAAAATGCAAGAGGTCTGCAATTTTTGGTCCGTGACTGTTTTCTACTCTAAGGTTGGACCACATAGAAGAACTGAAGGTGCAGTGGGCCACTGCCCGCAGGATGTTGAATCACTTCGAAGGCCTCCTGGCTACTGTTTCTTATGAGAGCCTGTCCCGGTCTCTCTCACAAATATGGCACTCGCAAAGGCAACGAACAGACGAGATGCCCCAGCACCTTGCTTTTATGTTGCGTTTGACAAGTACATTCCCAAGGCTTCATCGCCCGGCCAGTCTTGCCAGCGAGGGTTCGGCAGGAGTTGCTGACGGAGCATGAGAGCATCCATTGCAGTGCCAGTGAGGCTGCCTTGATGGTCACTTTGTGGGTCACAGTTTTACTATGGTTTTTCGCTGTTGTTCAAAGGCGGCCTTAGGGGGCATTTCGGAAGGGTAGCCAACATTTACGTTGTCAAGCCGTATTTGCCAGGCTGGCAACTGCTAAGTTGGAGTACACTACAACACTGTGTCTGCCTCAATCTTCAAAGAAATCTGTCTATATACTCTTCAATTTTCTGCCAACACTCAAGTTTTTCAGGCCTCTAGCGAAAGGAGCAGTAACATGGCCCTAGCTGCCTCTTCATCCTCTTCATGCTCTTCATGCATCCTTCAAAGACCGGTGCATTCACAAGCGCTTCTGCTTTCTTCTTTGCAGTCTGCCAAACAACGCAAGCAGTCCCTGCTCTGGCAGGCGAGTTTCTCAGCTGCCTTGTACCCAAAACAAACTCCCAAACTAAGGCAAACCAGACCCGACCACTGTTCTTAGGACTGGACGGGTGACGGGATTTTCTTTCCTCGCTGGCGTTGGAGTCCTTTTGCACTCTGCAGGCCCGGGTGATGGCCTGCGCGATGCGGAAGAAGTTCTTTCAGCAGGGCTCCGCGGTAAACAAGGACTGCGAATGTAGCTCATGGAACACAGGCCGCTGAGTCCGAGATTGTCCAGGTACTTTTTCTTTTCAGCTTTCCCACAAACTCTTGCGGGGCAGCAGAGGCATGAAACCAGTGGCAGGCACGCACAAGTCTGCGTACAAACGGAAGCAGGCTCAAAGAAGTCTGCGCAACGTGCAGTTGTGTTTATCGGCGCAAGCCACAACAAGCCAAAACACACGTTGCTGCATATCCAGATGAGTGCAAACGTCACTGAAATCCTGTTTGGTAAACAGGGTGTTTCTCTGGTTCTAGTCTACGCTTCAATCTGAGCAACGGCTGACTCCACAAGTCAGGACGATTACATTGCTGCAATGTGTCCCACTGAATTTCGTCCGAAAGAAGGCGGCTTGGAGTGCTCAGCTGCCTTGGGTTTTTTCAGATCAGTGCTAGTTGCAACTTACATGGTAAAGTAGAGAATCAGATCCCCACTGGCCAACGCCTGCGAAGTTATCAAGCCGTTCACCCATCAGGACACAGAGCTAGCGATGGGCTGAGGCAACCCTCTCATCGATCAGGTTGTGGGTCAATTGCTCCGTGCTCTCCTGAGATGCTCTTTGAAGAACTGCGTGGCTCGGACATGCGCTGTTATGCAGCTGAGGCATGAACGTGACAAACGTGGAAGAAAGCCTCAAAAGCAAGGAGCCTGATGCGGTTGCTTTGCCATTCGATGTCATCGCTTACGCAATGTGAGGAGGCTTTATTTGCAAGCCGCAGCGAGGCGGCTGCCAACAGGACATTTCCAAATGTGTAGATGTGGAGGCTGTAAGTTCATTTGGCAGATGAATTAACCTGAATTTTCGGCCACCGGCAACAGCCCATAGACCATAGTATTCTGGTACCTGTGCTTTAGAAGGGGTCAGCTAGGCAGTGCCACGGTCGGCATGATCCAAAGGTTTCCGCGGAGAAGCGGCTTCTACATCAGCCTTGAATGCCTCGAGCATGCTTCAAAAAAAGCTGCTGCCCGACCTCCAGTAGGCAACTAATACTAGCCGCCGCATTCACTGACAGGAGGAAATTCATCAAGCCAGCGGTCCCGGAGCATCAATGGGCGCAGTGGAACCAGGCGTTTGATGCCTTCTCCCCAACGGAGACGGCTACAGCATCAGGACAGCGATGTAGTCTTGTCTGGTTTGCGGCTCGTAGGCGAGATTGCCATGACATGTTTGTTTCGAGGACGCCTGAGCGTGTCGGGATTTGTTCGGCAGAACGACGTTTGCCCGACTATATGTGAGTTCATGTGAGACATGGCCTGCATAGTAGCTTTGCACTTCTGACTCATTTTTCTGACATGCCTGAAGCTGATTTCTGCGAGTCGATAAGGTGAGATTATCAGGCGCAACCGCGCTGAGGGGCATGAGCCCAGCTTTTCGAAGGAGGAATTCCTCCAGAAGATGCTTGAGATTAGTGCTTGTCGTGTGAGGAAGGACACGCTGCGCCAAGGTAGGCTGTGTGCGGTGTAGTGCGACAAGGCGACTCCCGCAGCAGGGGAGTGAAGTAAGACGCGGAGGCCAACGTATTAGGGGCGGTTGCGCAAGCCACGAGGCGTATACTTGAGCGACAAAATATTGCTGCGTCATTCCCATGCTGCTGGGATCCGCTGGGATAGCCCAACACCAAGCTGTTATGAGATTTGTTCTCAGTCCTGGGCACGTGGCTTCTGGCGCGGGGCAGCATGCGGGGTGACTACCAGTTCTGCTGCTAGTTACCCCTTTGTTCGGGCATGTGGCTACATACATGATTTCTGCCTGAGCATCCCAGCAGCACGTTGCCGAACTAGGTGTTTTGCTTACTCGCCACGGTTGACGTGCTTGGAATATGCGGCTGCAAAGTGATGGTTTCGCTGAGAGGCCCCCACTGTTGCACCTTGCATGCCAGGCATCTACAGCAACCGTTTTCTGCTTGCATTTTTTCAAGTTCACGTTTTCATAAGCTGCGGGGCCGCGTTGCGTCATTCTTGCTGCTCAAGGCAGGATACCAATGTCCTGTGTATTTGCTTGGCCATTGATGGACTTGAAGCCGGAAAACTAAAATCCTATGACTTCACAGTCAAGAAGCTAGTTGACCAACACTATCAGAAGAATGACGTGCCGAATTGCCCAGCATGCAGCCTGAGCGGAAAATCAACTTGATCTTTTCGTGGCACCTTGCACGGCTGAGAGCTTGAGTGTCTACAGTCCATGAATCTGTTGTTGGTCTAATAGCATCAAGTGGCAAGGGTTGAGAAACACAATGCCTCCAATGGTGCGGCTTCACGGACGTGTGAAGCCATGACTTTCTCAGGCGTGATTTTCATGCGTGCAGAATCTTACTGTAGAGTAGGAAAGCTGATCCATACTAGTCCGTGGATGCTCGTGTCACCAGCGCGACGGCACTGCCTAAGAAACATCATCGGAGCGCACTCGAAGAATTCTCTGGGGCTGGCTGCTGGCACCTACCTCACGGAACTTGCATGATATCGTTGCATCATTCTCCAGTAGCCTTCGAGTCTATGCCTGCTGGCATGCCGAGTTGGCCTTGATGGTGTCATAGACCCGTCGGTTCCCACTCAGCAGGGCCAATCGGGGAGTCGCTGTTAGAAGCCTAAGCCTAGAGGGCCTAGAAGTTCGTTTGGAGCACCTCAGCGACAACCCAGGGCATGGGCACCGGCTCTGTGAAGCGCCTACCATGCTTTTTTGAGAAAAAGCTTTTTCTTGACCGCGTGATCCTGGTACGTGGCCGGCCCAGGCCGCGATCTGATGCCAGATTTGTCTATGCCCCACCATGAGAATCATCGACGTGTGTTCTCAAGCACCAGTTCAAGCCTTCTTACAGTCCTTCTGGACCAACAACCATCCTTACATTTTGGGGGCACAGACAATAACCCCCTTCCCCTGACACGGAACCTTCCCTCTCTCACTTTATGCGCGTGCATGACGCAACTGTTAATGTCCAAGGTGGAGTTTTGGCTGTGAGGTGGAAGAGGGATGAAGAGGGAAGCCCCGGAGGGGTTCATCATTGAGGGGAGGGGGTCACGTATACTTCAACTTGCAAGCGTAGTCTGCAGTAACTGTCTGCCGACTGCTCCAGCAAACCGGCTGCATCACTGCTTTCAAATTAGCCCGTCAGCTTCCATCGGACCAACCTCAGAATCATGTGCGCGAGCAGTTGGGTTTTGAGTAGTTATGCAAGATGACCTGGCAGTACATGGCATTGGGGTCGCCTAGGTACAACCATTTATGTTTCGGGCTAAGGATGCCAGGAATACGTCAGTTGACAGACCTTCGTTATTCATCCTTCGGCTGGATTGCTGAGAAGCCCTTTGCTGATGCAAACTTCTAAGCGCTCCGGCAACGTTGAACAGCTCTCTTGCAAAGTAACAGAGGCTGGCTGATCATATGATAGCAGCGCCTGGGTGGCAAGCTACATCAATCGACTAAAGCGATGGCCATGCCTCTGTTCAGCTTTTCTCAACCGTCGCTAATGCAAACTTTGCCACGATATTGTCACAACATGTTTCTGTGGCTGCGAAGATCGCGCAGGTGCAGCTGCTCTGATTTGCAGCTTGCGCAGTTATGTCTTTTGCAAGTACAATTGAACCGCAGGCCCAGCTTTTTGGTGCTCATCTGACCAGAGGGCCTTCAGCAGAAATGCTCTGCAAAATATCGGTGGCTCTGCACTGCAACTGAAGCTGCAAGTTAGCAGGATACTTACTTCCAACTAAAAAGTAGACCCCTGAGATTTGAATATTAGAATCGACACCTAACAACCCAGTGGAGAAGTGATTGAGGAGCTAGTGCATCCTCGACCCTGATAGGCATCTATCTATCGTTGCGCTTGCATGTTAGAACCAGAGGGATCTCTTTCGTCTAACATGCCCTGGAAAACATCGTGGCTGAAGCAAGTTTTGTAGAGCTGCCGCTCAGGCTGTCTGAGGGCCGCAGTCTGCGGCTCCGCTTGCAAACTTCTGGGAGGTGCCCGGAATGTCCGTTTTGCCCAACATGGATGCACTGCGGTTTTTGCGCCCAAGCCCGCAGCGAAGGATCTCTGAGGGGGATTGCAGTGGTAACTCACAATAACTCTTAAATTAGAGCTCCCTTGCCCAGCTGCTTATTTCATGCATGCTGCGAGCTCAGTAAAGGTAACAGTAGAAGCCATGGTGGTTGAACGAAGCCCACGGACTATCACGTTCGCTTTAGGTAGGATTACAGAAGCTGCGATAATCTGTCCCAACTGAAACCCAGACGCAGCTCCGTGTCTGCGTGCTGTAAAGTTTGCTGCAAAAGCGCTGGATTGCTAGATTTAATCCCAGGCAGTTAGAAGCCTTCCTCCTGCTCATCCTCCCCCTCCCCGCTGAACACAATGAACTTGAAGCAACGCTGCAGCCTCGACAACGACAAGCTGCAGATGAAGTTGCAGACCTTCAGCCTGTCGTCGGACAAGTTGGTGCGCCCTTGACAGCATGCCTAGACCTGAAGGCAGTCTGCGTGCTTGCTTGCGTTGAGATCTTCAAGATCTTGTTGTGCTTTCCGTCTGGCAACGGTATGGGACATGTCATGAAGCAGATTCACTCTTCAAAACGTGGCCCAAAGCTTGCTGCAACGAGCAGAAGCTTGCTTAGTGGAACACCACACCTGAGCACCAACAAGTCACGACACCGCGAGGCTACACCAACGCAATCAGAGACCTTGAGACTCGATCTTACACTAGCAAAATACAAGCAGTGCAGCTTTCAATGGTTGCTGCTTAGCAGCACTTCCTCAAAGATGTTTGCGACTTGCCTGCAGACATTGCTCAGAAGCCAATGCGATTTTGTGAATGAAGTCGACCACTGGAAGCTGATGGAAGCTAAGGGTGCAGTGCTGTCGGCCTTGGCCCGATGGTTTCTTCCAGGTAATCACCGCCAGGAGGACAAGATTTCTACAGAACTGCAACCATCTGGATCAGCTGAACCCCGTGAACAGGTAGGTACCAGAGGCCCGCGCCAACGGCCATGCTGCTTCCCAACAGAAGGTGGAGATGGACAAAGCACCAGCATCCAAGCAGTGACCGAAAGTTTCTAAACACCTGAGCAGCATTTTTCCCGCTTGTCTTCAGACAACGCGTTGGCAACACAAACCTTGACATCAATGTGTGCTATGAAAGAATATGAAAGAATACATCACGGGGCAGCTCTCGGAAGTACGGGATGGAAACATGAGCAGTAACTGCAAGACACATGATGTAGGCCGGTTTTTGAAACTCCGGACGGAAATTTTGCGGAATGTTCGCGAAAGGCCGGGTGCATGTGTTATTAAACCCATTGGCCACGTGAAGCGTTGCAACTTTCTACTGCGCTCCTGCGTAAACCATTCAAGCTTAAACGCAACATACGACAACCCACGATTGCCATGCGCGTTGCAGATTCAAAGTCTGCAACTCATTTGCGTAGCTTTCCAAAATCCGTTATATCCGACAAAGTATTCTATACGCAAAAGATACTTCGCGGAGGGAGAAAAGGTTCGCGGAAGCAAGTTTTGCAAGATGCCAGCAACTTGAGGACGCTCTGGTCCGCGAGGATTAACGGAAGAATTTCGCGGAAGGGAGCCAGGGTCAAAATCATCGTTATTGTGCAGTAGTGAGAGGGGTTGTTCAAGTCGTTGGAAGATATGAAAAGCAGTGCAAAACCATACACGGCACCCTAAGACAACACCCAGAGTGATACTCCCAAACCTGCAGAACGACACGGGGCACCCCACATAAATTCCACCAGTACCACAAACCAGAAATATTGACGCCAGCTCTAGGAAGCATTTTTATAGAAGAGAAGTACCACAATTTGACAGTCAGATAGGATTTGGTGCCATCTGTCTTGGGAACCACCTTCCTCTGGCTCTGCATGCGCCGTAGAGTGCTTACTAGACCCCATATGCCCGGTAGATCTCGCAGCAGACAGCCAAACCTTCTACATCACTCGCTGCGTAGCGCATCCTTATCAGCTGCACAACCGTGCCGAGCAAAAGCCGCCGTTTCTGTCCAGGAGCCCGTCACGCCGGTTGAGAAACCGGTATCGCCACAGGTTGCCTGGCCTTGTCGCCATGCTTTACCATACCATTGCTGCCAGCAGAAGTCTGTTCTGGGAGCTCAAGCCATCTCGGGCAGGCTTGCCTTCCCAAACAAGCTGACCATGACGACCAGGCAGCATTGTCCAATGCAAACCTCAAGGCCCGTTTTACACGTAAGCCTTGAGAGCACTGTGTCGTGCGGAGCGGCAATTGGCGAGGGTCGTACATCATAAGGAGATTGGATTGTTACCAGTAACTCCTTAAATCCCTCGCACCTGACTGGAGCACTTGTTCATCGCATCTGCGCCACCAGCAAAGACGGGCAGGTGCGAATGACTTCGCTCATGCTGCAGCGTGGTGCAAACAAAGTTTTCCATTTCCGTAACATTCCAGGCGTCCATCGCTTCAGCACAGAGAGAGGAGCCAGCGGAGCAGGCAGCTTTTGTGCTTTCACTCCTGCAGTGCACGCCATCCACAGCCAAATGGACAGGCTGAACAGGACAAAAGTCAGCAACCGGTGGAGGCCTGGGACTGCTTGGCAGGCAGATTTGGTTAGGCTCCTACCCAGTCCTATAGCCTCGATGAGTCATAGCGTCTCATACATTTGATCACGTGGGCTTGAGAAGCCGAGAGTGGCCTCAGCCACCAGGAGCAGCCGCCTTCCACAGTACCCGCACCAGCAGAAAGTCCAGCTCAACAGGCCTGCTACATGGCGCTGTAACAAAGAAAAGTCCTTGTTTGGAAATTTCTTCCCGCACAGCTCTTGCAAGCAGTCATTCCTTCTCGTGGCTTGCCCCGTAATGGAGGAGCCCGCAGCAGCCGCTGTGCCTTCAACAGCCTCGGCAGCAGAAGAGGCAGCTCTGCAGACTAGGTTTTTTTCTTTCAACAGCCTGAAGTCATGCTGGATCCTTCAGAGGAGGAGTGGAAGGTTTGCGGCTCGGGTTAATCCACGAAATGCCGAGCAACATCTTAAACGAAAGTGACTACTTGCTTCCACTGTCCAACGCCGCTTGCATTGTCCGACGCCGTTCGCCCCAAACTTTAGCTTTCCGAGGGGCGGGTGTATGGAGAGGAGAGGGAAGACAGTACGGCGAGGAGGTCTGAGCGGGGATGGGGGACAAGAGCGGGCAGAACTTGGGCAGCAAAGGCAGCCAGAGTGATCAGGGTATTTCAGGGTGGATGCCCTTGTTTGGGCAAATTGGTTGGTCGTGCTCATTGCGGTGGCAGATTTTAGTGTCATCGGGGCTGCCTCTCGCATCTCGCTAAAACACTCCGTTGGCCACCTCCGACTGAACCTGCGCTCGCTACCTGCTGTTGACCGAAGCAGACAGGTAGGTTATGCTTGAAAGCATCCTTGGCCTTCATGCATTGACGCCAACATTGGGAGCTGGAGAGTTGATGGAGTCAACTCGATTCCTCAGTGAGTCGTGTGAGCTTGGGTTGGTCACGTTATGTCACGTTTGTGTTGCCAGAAACCGTTTTGCAATGTGACTTCAGTGTTTTTGAACATCAATGTCCAGCATGCCAGAAGAGGCCGAGTGGAAGGGGGAAATCCCTGGATATGTTAGACTGGCCACTCATGACTGTCCTTGCCAATGAGGTGCCGTCAAGTTCGCTCATTTCATGCGTCAGTTTTGTCGCTACCAGTTGTCACTTCCATGTCGAGACCTGAGCAAGGTGGCGTGACAGGTAAGATGCATCCTGCAGCCCTCGGCATTGAGCCATCAACATTCTGACATGTTCGGAATGTGGACCTATCAAGAGAGAGCTACTTTGCTGGACTTGACTTGACGTTTGTGCGGCAGGGCCGCTCAATAAAGGTTGGCGGCGGTAGGGCTGGTGCCCGAAAGCCGTGGACACGTTGTTGGGTTGGCTGCAGGAAGTAATTACAACCCTTCACGAAAACAAGAAAGCGATCTCGTATTTAAAGCAGCCCGCATAATCCAGCAACGTGCGCATCGTTTCCCGCTTGGGCGAGGTTCTTCCATTGCCTGCGCGGATAGCAGAGCAGATTCTGCCTGCGGAGGCTGACTTCTGGTTCAGGGTGGGTTCAAAGATATTCTGTTTGGCAGACTTGGCAGAGGTTCCTTTCTGTGCAGGCAGCGCCGTGTGAAGCGAGTGCAGAACTGAAGCAGCATCACGTCGCTGCGAGCTTGCAGGCCACGCTAGGAGTTCAGCTCGTGAGATCACAAGCCTGAGTGCGTGCCATATGTCGTGACTTTACCACTGGGACTACCAAGGTGCCCGCGCAAGACGAACTGCATGAGGCGTCCAAAACTGCTGTTTTGCACAGGAAGTTGGAAGCGATCAAGCAGGCCGCGGTGATGAAAGAACTTGTCAACTTGTGAAGCTGAACTGCATGTCTGCGTATCCGATCCGACATTCAGGCAACCAAGCCGGTGACCGTTGCAGAGCCATCAGTGAAAGCTTGCCAGGACAGGCTAGAGCATACAGTCTTCTCCAGAGATGTAGCATCCCACTGGGTTTTTCTGCACGAATACTGCTTTGGGGGGATGTGGCGGGAGGTGCGTTGAGCAGGGCAGAAACACCGAAATCACGTTTGAGCCAGTGCTGACCACTGTATGAGCACTGCATGCATCAGCTGACGTTGCATCCTGTGCAGAGGAAGGCAAAGCTGCCGCCCTGCAGCAAAAGCTTGACATGGCCAAGGAGGCAAAAGAGCTCAACTACTAAAGACAAGTGGGAAGAGTCTCTGCACGGAAGAAATGGAGTGTTCTGTTCTGTTTTCCCAAAAACTTGTTCTAGGCGAACAGAAAGTCGGCAAGCCTGCAGAAGAAGCTGGACAAGGCTAAAGAGGCTTGCAGAGATTGCTGTACGGCCTCCGTAGTTTTAAGCCTTTTGAGCCATGTCATTGTGCCGGGCTGTCGCACTCAGATGCTGCCGAATTTGCCCAGGAGGTCGGCAAAGCTTCTGCTTCACAGAGGATGGTGGGCGTAGAGGCGGACGAGGGATCAGAAAGCATGGCGTCTAAGAAGCGATCCACGACGGAATCCGCCGCTGGGAGCTTGGAACGTGGATGGCATAGGTGTTGCGTGAGCACCTTGCAAGCAGCCACCAAGACCGTTTGTCATCAGGATGTTGGCTTCGTGTCCCCCAGGTTAGCAAGGCAGCAATCCTCCAGAGGAAGCTGAATGAGGTCAGCACTTGGCACTTTCCCTTTCCACAGCACAGTGACGGGCGCTTTGTCACTTGTTTGCCCTTATCGCATTAGCTAATTGCAGGCCACTTTGCAGTTGTACAGGCGCGGAGATCGTCGCCGTCGACGAGTGCCGCCCAGGAGGTCCCTTGCCAGGTAATCAGAAACTACTTTGCTTGTCACTTTGCTCTATAGCAGCCTGCAGTCGCCTCTCGTATTTGGCCAAATGCGATTGCAAGTTGAGCCATTTAAAAAACTGAGAGAACTTGACAACATGCATCTCCCAAGCCGAAGAGATCGTGCAATTGTTTCACCAAGACGCTCAAGGCGGTTCTGCAACCGCCCAAGAAGAAGAAGGAGGATGAAGTAGCAGAACCTGAGCAGGCAATGTGCCTGGAGAAGCATGCCGCTTGCTATTGATGGCATCCATGGTTGATAAAAGTTGATGAAAGTAGGAAACCGCGAAGCCCTCCTTGCCCAAGAAAGTCAAGAAAGCGGAGGACCCGATGACGCTCCTTAAGCAGGCCTGATAGTCCACCTTTTGGGCCGCGCTGAGATCATTATGGCGGGACTGTCGCTAGGGTAGTCCGTTGACAGGGCTGGGCATCAACAGCCCATTATGGCAATTTTCCAGCATGCGGTGCGCGGCCTTTGTCCTTTCCTCTGAAATACATGGGCTTAATGAGACTGCTGCTGAAGATATCCGAAAACTATGCATGAACGACACCCTTTCAGACTGTTGTGGTGGGGGGGTGGATCTCACGTTGCAAGCGGCCTTTCTGCACTGACCAACTTTGCTGGAAGATGTTGCACATGCCAGAGCAAGCTAGAGCCGGACTTGGAAACCCTGATGAGTACCATACATGGTGCGTACGTGTGATTGTACTAACTTCACATTGACTACCAGAAATGTGCCACCCTGAAATCATCATAGAGCATCGACATTCTGTTTGCATCATGTTGAGCAGCACCTGCCATCCTTCTCCCACAGGCGAGCAGCAAAGCAGAAGCGCCCAAGATCCCGGACGAGGAAGCAGCTGAAGATGACACAGAGAAAGTCGACAAGGCCATGAGGCTTTAACATGCGATATTCAGAATATTGATGCTCGTCCATGTCTATGGCTGGATGCTTTGGGCTAGAGCCATGTGTGGGGCTAGCTGGGGAGCCTGCATGGTTTGACTGCGCCAGAGTTCGGTCGTTTGGCACCCCAAAACCACTCGAGGTAGCTTTGGGAACGCGCAAGAAGAAGAGGGAGGATGAAGCGTCAAAGGGCTTGGAAGAGCCTTGCCAGGCGATGCCCCCATACAAGCATGATACTGCTCGTGCAGCAAGCATGTGGCCAGGAGGCAGGGAAACCTGCACTGCTGAAAAGGGCCAGGAAGGTGGCGAACGCGAGTACGCCAGACAAGGCAGGAGGAAACTTCACTTTCAATTGCTTTGCCATTACGAGGCCATTGCTCCTTGGGTTCTTCCATCTGCCCAATCTCTTCTAGGGCCTGAACTCAGTTCAGCGCTCAAGAACAGAGACCACGAGCACGCACATTGATCAAACCCTTCAGTTCCAAGGCTTCGAGCTGTGTAAACATCCCGAACTTGTCCAAAACTGGATCACCGTGCAGGGCAAGCATTGCAAAGTGATGACACAGGACCCTGCAATTGCGTTAAATTTTAGGGATATGCAGCTTCACGCATGTCGTGGGCGCGTGTGGCATATAGAGTGGGCCCATACTTCTACCTCTTAGATCCCATGTCGGTTCAGGCAGCTTCATCCTGTCTTCCGGATGGTGCTTCAGACATTCGGCCGCCACCTGGCCGGTAGACCATCTAGAGCAGAATGGACCACTGACACTGACACGCTGCACGCTTGTGGAACCCCATGGCATCTAAGCGCTTTCGTCGTGATGTACAAACACAATCAACCGGCGCAGCAAAAAACACTCAGGAAAGAGCGGGGAGCTCGACCCAAGGCTATCCAAAAGCAGTCTGTCCAAAAGCCAGCGGAGGACACAAGACACCCCAGAGTTGACCTGCAGCTTGATCAAGTTTATGGTACGTACGGCATAGCGTCGCAGAACGAAGTGAGTCCGCGCGCCAGGACTCAGATGCCAGGACTTTTGGGGAGCAGCCTTTCAACGTGTTCAACGAGTTCCGAGAGAAGGCAACGAACGCATTTCTTCCCAGTCTTTTCCTTGGCCTTGCTCAAATTCCGGCACCATGCCGGGGCTTTTTGGCATAGATCCTGCATTGTCCTGCACAGCATAGCATAGCATAACATAGCCTGATGCATCTCGCTGCGGATGTTGTGCCGCAAATGCTGATACTTACCAGCGTTGCAGCTTCCTTGATCCATCGGTTTGCCGATTATCAAAACTGAAGCTGGCAGGTTTTCCGGCGATGTGTTGTATTTGGCGGCCATTCATGGCAGAAGGAAAAACCAGGCACTGCTCAAATGCTGTCAAGTGAACATGCAAGGCGCCTCCACTTGGAGACTCCTCAAACGTCGCGGAGGAGCCCGCAAAGTGGCTCGACAAAGAATTTCAGATCTTCATTGGGGGAGAAGGGCTGTTCCGTAGTGATTCCCGTGTCGCAAGCTGTTTTCCCGTGATGCTTGCTGGAACCAGCTCAGGGCCTGCAAATGCCTTCAGCACAGCATGTTGTTTGTCGGAACCTTCGCGTGAGAAAAACCTAGTACCCAAGAGTTTTGCAAGGCGATTGCGTGCTTCGCTGAGGAGACTTGGCACAAAGTAGGGAGGTCACTGTGCCCTGAGCTGCAACACAACGAGAGACATCGAGAGAGTCATACATAGCAATAAGTCATGGCGGATTCTGGCAGAGATGCAGATTGATAGCGAACGAGGCCTACAACACCAACCCGGAGCCCAGTGGCAACAGCGCGAAATGGATGGCGGGGCGAGGAAGAGGAGACGGTCCAAGTCCCCTTGAAGGTGAGCGTGGTTCGCTCCAGCTCTTGAACAGGAAAGTGATGCTTCCGACTCCTCGCCGTCGCTGCCAAGATGCAGACAGCGCACTCATTGATGTCATAGGGCAGACAAAGCAAATTGCCACTCTTTGAGTTTGAGCACAGTCCTGCAGCATTCACGCTGCAGTGTACACGAAAGGGGCAACTTACTGCTGATACTACAAAAACTTCATCACGTAAGAGAACAGAGCATCACCATTCCCAAGGTGTAAGGTACTTAGGGTCATGCAGATTTTTGGTATCCACATTCTAAGTGGAATTCCTGAGGGAGCCTTCCAGATGGAGATGCGAGGGTGAAGACGACACCTTCGACCTCAGGCAAACGATTGCTACCCATTAGTAAGCTTTTCTTAGACAGATCAATCCATAATAATCCTTTGCTAGACGCTCGGAACCGTATTTAATGTTAGGGTGGGATATGGGGTGGGGAGGCCAGGGGGCGGAGGGGGGGGAAGGGGAGGAGGCGTGGGGGGGAATCTAAACTTGATGAAAATCATACAAAAAGCGAAAAAATCTGATAAGGGACTATGATAGCTTCAAACCAGGGACTTATTTTCAGACTATTTGGAAATTAGGGCCTTATTAGGGACGATTCCAAATTACGGCCTCGGAATTTGTTATTCTAAAAGTGCTATTATAAAAACCATTCAGAAACAATCAAGATCCAGGAAATCAAGGAGATCCCTAATCCTTAAGAGTCGTGCGAATTTTTGGCGAACCCGTATTGAATGTTAGGGCGGGGGTTAATATTAGGGGGAGGCGATTAGCTTGATGCGCCAGAGCCTGACCTGTCATCTGTCGGGCGCAGCATTTGGGTAGAGAGTATGCCAAACAGTGTGGAAGCGCATCTGTGATTCTTCATGGGAGTCTACAGTAAACTGCTGCTGGAACAGTTCCACCTCCTGGCTCCACCTGCACCATAGCCTCAGAACTTGTCCCCAAAATCTTGAAGGGACTGGCGCCGGCTTGAACAGCCCATTCAAGCCTCGACACGGCGGAGCCAGTCCGAGGACGGTCAGCTTCAAATTCAAGAAAGAAGAAGCAGTCAGTCGGGCGGCACCCTTCAAGTTCCTGAGCACGGCACAGAACCAGCGCCTTAGCCCGTGGAATTCCAGAAGCAAAAGACATCCGACCAGGAGATTTGAACCACCCGAAAAAATGCAAAACCAAAACAAACTTTAGCAAATGCACCTAGCTGGCGCCGAGATCAACAATCCTTGGGGGGATGGCGCCCGTTGACATCGTTGCTAGAACGAATCTGAGCGAGGTGGAGACACAATTGACATGCCACATTCGTGCTGAGTCCGTTGGTTTAGCCTCCATTTGCCAAGCAGAGCCGGTCACGTGCTTCAGGCAGTAGCAACCGGTGAACATGAAAAACCCCAAGTGTGCAGGACGAGGAGGCATCCCCAGCAGCGAAGAAGCGCAAGCCCAGAAAGAAAAAGAAGAAGAAGGCAGCAAGAGGCAGGCCGCCGGCACTGCTTGAAGTCTCTGCATGATGATGTGGGTAGGTAGTTATCTCTATGTTCTCCAATGTCATGTCAGTTTGTGTCACACAATTCGAACAAAAGTCGCTTGAACCAAGTCATTTGGGAAACATGTCCTTGCAGAAATGTCAAAAAAGTCAAAACAAAGTCACAAAAAAGTCTAGATAAAGTCTTTGGGCGGGGGATGGCGCAGCCTAGACTTTTTCGGTGTTTTTATAAACAAAAAATTGTGTTGACGCATTTCTGATAGATCATGTTTTTCTCGACTTCATTTTGCAAATACGTCAATTTCCAGGATGAGAGTTTAACGTGGACTCCCCACAACATAACCACCGCACTTTCATTGTTCGAAGACTTTGCTTTTTGGATGTGCACGCTTGCAGCTTGTCTGCAGCTTCTTGCTAGTGCGCTCTGTTTCTCTCTCAGTCGCGCTTGATGTGCGTGATGCAATGCAGGAGTGGATTTCTTAGCACTGATCAGCTGTCCTGGTTTCTGATTCGAAGTTTTGAGTTGTCAGGCGCAGTGTCGTCGGCCGAGCAGGTTGTACAGAGCACCTTGGGCTGTTTCTAGCCGCAAACGGCCCTTCAAGTTCCTGAAACTTGGTGAGTGGCCTTCCCCCGCTGTCGTTTCTGGACCCAAAGCCGACGTTTTGTTGTTGTGCGCTCTAGAGCTTTCAGACCAATGAAGCAACTGGAGATCTCTGACTGCCCCAGTTTATGGCAACATGACTTCGTAGCTTAGCAGGCAGACCTGCCGCTTGGGAGCCGACAACGCACTCGTTGGCGTCCAAGAAGGACCGCCCGAAGCGCACCACAGCAGCAATTCTGCCAGCTGCCATGAATTTCAGTATTCTAGTCGGCTTGCATTTGGTAAATCAAGGCACACCAGCCGGAGCCGGCAGGGAGGACGTGGAAGAAGAGCAGCATGTTTCACCGAAAGGCGCAAATCATCCCTTTGCGCATAAGTGCAAGGAATGGCAGTGTTGGCTGACAGGACTGCTCAGCATTCCTAATGATAGACTCACGTGTTCATTTGATTTTTCTCCGGGTGCTCGTTTGAAAAGGCTTGATGTCATGGAGCCTTATAGACCTGCTTACTCATGTAGCGCAAGTGATGTAGGGCGGCGCTTCTCGCTTAGAGCTTGCCATCGGCAATCCTTGTCTTCAGGTAAGCGAACCGCCTCTTCCGAAGCAACGACGCCAAAGCGCGGCAAGCCTGAATCCAGTTGTGTCCTAAGTTGCGCGGTAGCTTCTGCATGCCTTTGAAGCCTCGTGTGCGAGTCACGTCGACCACCACTGTAGCATCCTGTAGCACAGATTTTTTTCGTATTGCGCAAGCTTCAATGAAAATTAACATATGAACTTACAGCAGGAGGGCTGTGGGCCCCGCGGGCTCAAAGTTGCAGAGTCCGATCGGGCGTAAGACAGAGCTTGCTTGAATGGCAGGTGGAATTAGGAGCAACTGTAGCAATCAAGTTTAAGGCCCCACCTGCCAAGTTCCGGCCGAAGCTCAAGTTCACCACGAGGACGCTGCATACATGCAAAGATCAGCTTGGAGTTTGTTTGTCCTATCAAGGCTTGCTGTCGTATCTAGCACTGCAGGCTGAGTCCGTCGAAGACATCATGTCTGTGAGCTCCGGAAGTGACCACGCAGACTATGGCGTCATTGAGTGCTGCGCTCAGACGGCGATTGGCATGATTGGCACAGTCTGTGCTGGCATCACATCAGCACAAAGAAGTGCGTAGTGCTCAGCTTTCCTTGAAGCTAAGGGTCGTTCAAGAGACCTTTCAATTCCCGTTCCTCAAGTTCTGCCTCGGCGTACTTGTTGATATCTTCCTACTGTTGCCGATATTGCCGTGAGCTTGTGTCGTGTCACAGCCTCTTTCTTAACAATATTGGCCGATGCTATTTCAGCTTAAGGGGTCCCAGCGAAAAGCTGCCACTGCCAGAACCTATCAGCACCTCACAAAGCATTGTCTACAGTTTTCAGCAGTTGCAGGACGCTTGAGGCTGAGAAGTAGGTCATAACCAATTGGTCTTCTCATTCGGGGTGCAGACTCGAGCCTTCAGCTGTCTGCATTTGGTACGCCAGCTGCCGCTTCATCTCGGAGAACGACGCTGCTTTGGGCCTACGTCGACGGATACAGCGCAACAAGGCGAGGGCATTGGAGGAGGCCGTCACTGCACGTGAGGAAGGAGAGGATGCATGCCGAGCTTGCTTGTGCAGACTTTCATGTCCTAGCTTCAGGTTAACTTGCCGCTTGGGAGTACTCTCAGCGCATGCTGCTCTACTTTCCGTTATTGTCAGGCCAAGAAGGAGGAAAAGAAAGCCAAAAAGAAGGCAGGTATCAAATTTTGTGGCAAGTCCAGATATTGGTTGGCAGCAGTTCGTCACGTTTTCCATGCGGCAAGGCTAAGAAAGCAGCAAAGCGCGCCTTGAAAGCCAAGCGTGACTTGTATGAACGCTCAGGGGGGTTGAGCTGACGGGCTGGATCCTAACACAAGAGGAACGAGTGGCAAAGGAAGCAAAGTCTGCAGCGATCTCAGCACGGAAAAAAAGCACAGCAACACAAACACGACGCAGAAGTGGCTGAAATGGATCGAGGCTTTCAGCCTGAAGAAGTAGCGCCTCACGGCCAAGAGAGAAGCCAGCCAAAACCGCTGGGCTTTAAGGCATGGAAGAACAGGCACAGAGAAAATTCAGCAATTCGCGCGGAGACATCAGGGACAAGTCCTAAGTAACTTCAAATTTGGTTTTGGCGCTTTGTGAAGCAGATTCAACAATCCTGGTAGGGCCGCATGGCCTTCATACCCAAGTCGTGCTTGTCGCGACAGCAGCGCAACCTAACCTAACCTCTCTCATATTGCTTCTTGCAGGCCATGAGGCCGGACAGGATAGGAATTGAGTCATATTCTCAGATTCAGGAAAGGCTGACTCCGCAGAGGCAGCTGCTGGCTGCAGGCCATCGCGGGCAGCACATGTTGAGACACGTTGTCTGAGGTGTTGCGTACCAGACTTGAGTAGAATGAGAGCACGCTTGGTTTAAATTTAAGTCCTGGCTAAGCATTGCAGGCAAGAAGATGAAGATCCCATGTGGGCCAAGCTCATGGAGCTTTCCCAGGAAGGTGGCATGTCACCAAAGCATGGCTGCAGCTGTGCAGTTCCTATGCCTGACTAGATACTTGGAGTTATGTTGTAGCGAGATTTGCTATGCGACGTCCAGGTCGCTATTCCTTTTCCGGGGGCATGTGTTGTTTGGATTTTTTGTGTTTGTTTACTTGTTTTTTTTGCGTTCTACCCCCGATTTGATCAAATCCCGCAGCTGGACATATTGCTCCTGGACTCCTTCCCTGATCCAAATTGACTGAAATCAGGGCTTGCGGTCTATCAAGCACCGGCGGCAACTTAGTCCAAGTTTGAGAAAGGAGCACCCCTGCGGTCTCATTTGGTCTTTCCAGACCCAAATCCGAAATTTCTCACACAGCCCAATAGATTCACTGCTACAACGAATCAAATCCCTAACTTGCGTTCCACATTTTGTCATAGGCCACATTCAGTGCCACAATTAATCAAATGTCTTACCTGCATCCCTAATCTCCTCACAGAGCCCAACCGCGTCACTGCCAGAATCAATCAAGTTCTGTACCTGCGTCACAAAGTCTCTCACAGGCCAATAGTTCACTGCCAGAACTACACATGTTTTCAGAGGCCAATACATTCAGTGCCAGAAACAACAGTACTAGTAGTACAGTAGGCTTCACGTCCGCTCGGTGCCGTGGGACTTGTCGCATTCATGTTCCGAGTGAACAGTGCTGCTGACAAGAAGCCTCATAGTTTGGGCTTAGTACTATCTGGTTGGGTCCCTTTCCTACCCCCATGCATTTCCCTCATCCCTTTATTGCCCCCAGACTCGCAACATGGGATAGAACGTGGGCCGTGAGTTGGTTTCTGAATCGTATGCTGCAGGCTGAGCCACAAGACGATTCGCAGGACGCTGAGCGCCCGATGTACCTTTAGCGAAGCCGAGCAAAAAGTGCAAATGCATGGCCTGGTAGATCGGCATCGGGCTGGGCAGAGTGTGTCGGAGTTGCCCCCTTTCCAGTGGGAAAAGCCCCTGAAATGTTAAAACATGTGGCAGCGTAAGAAGGGGCTTAGGGAAGCCGCCGCCCCGGCTCCTCAAGTAGTGCATTTTCATCCTTTAGCAGGGTGCTAGTTCATTCCGTGTACTGCTGGATTCTCTGCAGAAGTTTGATGTTCCGGCTGGCTTCACGAGCACCATTGCCGGCTCAAGCCAAACCTGCGTATAGCGGGTCCAAAAACAGCATGCCTGGGGACTGCGGTGGACGTGAGACCTGAGAACACCTCAAGACGCCAGAACAACGAGGATCAAAGCAGACGAAGGATGGCCAACTGCGTTGGCACACTAGGGCAGATGCTTTGACCACTGCGACCTACTTAGAGGTGAGCCCAATGTCTGCACCAAGTCCCCCAGCCCTGTCACCCCTAGGAGGCCAAAGCCTAAGCCCTGCACAGATGTTCCTGGTGAAGCCGTCATGGCATCAATGGAGGATGCTGACGGTCAGGCAGCCGCTGCGGAGACACTTGGTTGCCGTCGGTATGAGACTTAGATTTTGAAGGAGCTCCGTACCGACTTTTGAGAGCACTTTCCTTGCATGTGACACATTAACTGCCAAGAACAATGGCGCCAGCGCCGGGCGCTCCCAGACGGTCAGAAAGTTTCTTAAGTGCTCAGGGAACCTTCAAAGCTCGAAGGCAGCTTCATTAGTACAGCTTCAATTTGGCCAGACCAACTTTCACGGCTGTATGAAGCCATGCGGGCTAGAACCTTCAGGCCTTGGAATCCAGAACTCAGAACCGACCAGAGCTCAGGCTCCTATAGCTCATAAAAATCATAAAAACCCATTCAGGGAATGGCCCCCCATCCATTTTCCCAGGGGTCACCTCAGCAGATCCCGTGTTTCTCGTGGCTCGATTTATTTGCGGGTTCCCTCGTTTGATGCGGTGCTCCAGACACAACAGCCCTGCCCAAGAAACTTTTGCAAGCTCACAGGCTTTAAGCCCAACAAGCCTTCAAGGTTGTGTTAAGAGCACGTGCCTTTTGCTGAGTGCGACCCGCTGTTTAGAGCCATGAGAGTGGCGGATTTCAGAGGCTTATAATCCAGAACTGGCCAAGAGGTTTTGTTTGGGAGGGTCCGGTGGCAAATGGAAACGGATTCTTTTGCAGGGAGAGGGGGAATGCAAAAACAGGCCTCGGCCTGCATGAAGTACAGGATTTTGACCTTTGCATGTGCAAGACATGTAGAGGCTGCAGCTGGCTATTTTTCGCATCTTCAAATCCAAGGATGGCAAAAGCCGATCCAGATCTGGACCCCGTGTCTGCTGGTCAACAGTTTACTGTCTGGGGATGGTTAACAAGCCAGCACTTTGACAGACTAAACCCGCAAGAGCTTGCATGAACTTGCCTGATGTCAGGTGGGGTTTGTTGATCGGCGCAGCACCGGCGCAGGACAATTCTGCAGCGCGCTGAGTGCTGCACAACGACACTTCATGTTCTTCAGCAGCAGCGCTGCTTTGCAAGGCAAACGTAACAGCACCGCCTTTTTGTACAACATTTGAATTCGGAAAGCCTCGCAAGGATACGGGATTTGCACAGACGTTCCAGCTGGAGAATGAGACTTGTGCGTCCAGGCAGCTGCTCATGCTTCCTCCAAGCATCTCAAGCCAGAGATGCCGTTGCAGGCACGGTAGAGACAACGAAGCACCGGATGCTGAGGACGAGGCCCGCAGGAAGACACTGTCAAGAATGCAAGTTTTGTTGAGCTCGTCACGCGCCGAGAATTTCACCAATTCTGTCATCAGTGAATGCTGTTTCATGTCCATGTGCATGGTTCAGAGACGTGCCTCTCCACCGCAAGTCGGGATAGATTCTTCATCTCCGCCCCGTGACAGGCTGCGCTTCCAGACCAAGACTGGCCCAAGGAGGCTACCAACTCCTCAAAACCGATTTCCAACGTTGTTGACAAGGCCCGCTGACTTGGGCACACGTTAATCCCAGCAACCTACTGAGCGCTCTTTTTTGCACGTCCCTTTCAGAAGTCTGAACACGTTACTGGAGTCCATTGAGCCCGGGCCCCCCTGTTACCATGCCAGGCAGAGGTCTCCGCACAGATCTTCCAACTACCAGAAGATTCGGATTTGAGCCTGTCAGCTGCAATCAGTCATGATGAGGGATAGGATCTAGCCACGATCATATCTATCAATCAGCTACAGTACATGTCTCTTTGGGCGGGCTAGTTTGGTTTTTTCGCGCCAAGCTGTGCCTCGACGTTTCCGCTTGCTGACCCAGCAAAAATGCAATACTTGTAGCATAGCAGCAGCTTCTCCACTTCCAGAAGTGTGTTCGGATCGCATCGCATCACTGTGCATTTAGGCCCCTGTGCAATCCCCCTTCCCATTACCTCTGTGGAATTGGGGGCCCTGCGTGCCTGGCATAACGGTGCAATTTACCCTTGAGATGCCCTCGGGGGCCATTTTACACTTGAGGGGGTCCAGGCATGCAGAGTTTCTAGTGGTGGCCTCCCCCATTTTACAGTAGCTTGATGCGCGGGTTCCCCCATAGTACAGTAGTTTGTAAATGTATCAGCTTTAAGCGCATAGCCCCATGTTCCGTCACAATCTCTCATCATTTTTCAAGATGGAATTCATATGGTATGCTTTTGTGAAGGGGATACTCAGGAGGTGAGGCGGGGTTTTCCATGATAAAGCCATGCTTCAACCTTCAAAAGTCCACTAAAGAAGACCATTGTGACCTTCATGTTACGGAGATTTCGTTTTTTGATGTTAAGCACACGGCTTACCTATTTTACAGAGCCCTTTTGCCTGGGCCCCACCGTTTTACCTAGTGAAATGGGGCTTCACAGGGTTGACCCTGAATGCAAAGGGGGATCCCGTGACCACTGACTGACTAGCTTGGACCGCAAACTAGGTTAGAACCAACTCCAAGGTCCTACGCGCTGGGATATCCAAGGCCAGCGGGTATATGCGGGGAGACCACTTTGTCTCTCAAGGTTGACTAGGACAAGCTACAGGCTCCTGGCTGTATGCTCAGCCAAACGCAGTTGAGGGCATGCAGTTCCATTTTCCCACCCGCCGATTGGCTTACAAAGTCCTCTGTTGGCTTTCCTCAAGGGCCCAAAGGACTTCCTGCAGCACAGGCTGGTGCTATGTTGATGCAGGCTGTGATGCGTTCGTCCTCGATGGCGTTCTCAGCGATGCAGAGTGCAGCGCGCTGCGCAGCCGTGCTGAGGGCCTCTGGACATTCTGGGAAGCTTGGATGCAAACACGAAGGCCCGCCATTCGGAGGGGGGATGTCTACTGGCACCCAGCAATTCAAGCTTGGCAGTTTTTCGTAACGAAGACCGGCAAAGAATCCAGGATCATCCAGCCTAGGCTAAAGTTGTGTCCAAAACGATATCTCAGGAGGACGATCCAGAACGCCCTCGCATTTCTTTTCGCAATGCGCACACCGTCGAGGCCTTGTAAAGCAGGGAGGGATGTCGCATTTGAAGCTGGCGACTTGGCCCTCACGCCTCTCCTTCTACGATGACGGCAACGTGAGCGGGAGAGAGCGACACAAGGGAAAGTCCAAGACAAAGCATTGAGAGCCGTGGGACCGCTTTGTCCTTCAATTCGGGCACGGGCCCTGAGAGTACAATTGCAGTTTTTTGTTGTTGCTTTCGAGGGCGGGCTCCAAATAGCGACAGCATGTACCTACGACCGGATGAAGGTTGAAAAGAACAAAGGCCACTGAGAGCGATGAAGCAGGCAAGACAGGCTTCAGAGAAGGGTCAGCGCTATCAAGCAGCCTGCCCGTGATAAGGGCGTCACGGCTGAAAAGTGCGGTCAGATGCAGATCAGGCTTTCTTACCAGCCGAGCCAGTCAGCATGTATACTTCAACAGACTCCGACCGCCGTTAAACTTCACAGTTTACACGCAGAAGTATTCTGCAATGTGACGGGTATGTGGAAGGGGGGTGGCGAGAGCAAGGTTGAGTAGGCTTTTCCAAAGGCCCTCTGAGATTGCTGAAGCCTGCCGTGTCCAGGTGACGCACCAGGCCCTGGCAGACCGAATTTGGCGCCGGGTAGCCTCGCACGTGCAGCCCAAGGCTTCCAGGCTCAAACTTAACGTCAAAGGCATTTGCGTGGGTTGTGGCTTACTAAGCCCGGTATGCTTGGTGGGCCTTGTCGGCTGCAAGTCCTGCCGTCAATAGGCAGATCAGCGATCCAGCTTGCGATGCGCAGGGTGCGGGCACATGACATGCTACTCCACTCGTCGATCACCCGGGGAGTTCAGAGTCCGCAAGGTCGAGCTTTGCTCAGACGATCCCCGCTTTGAAGTGGACATCGAGGGCACCTGGTCGCCATACGCAATGAAACTTGAAGAGCATCAGCACCACCAACTTGCAGCTTGAGCATGTGCGTGGTTTTGATCACATCCTCGAGGGAGATAACATCACAACATAATGTTACATAAGTTTCCTTCTGCTACTCAGGAATCCCAAATTGCTGCTGTCGCGATATCTGGATGGTGGCCACTTCAGCCCTCACACAGTCAGAGCCCTATGAAGAGGCTACATGAGGATACGCTTGGGCCAGCCACGTGATGGACTCTGTGGGCTAAGGATGGAACCACAGTGGTGGATTTCAATCGCCGCACCTTCTACAGCTGATCGGTAGCAGATGCGTGCTGCCATATTTTAAGTTGGCCAAGTTTGCTTGTTCTGGCAGAAGAAGGATGGGGAGAGGGATGAGGATCTGAAACGATCCACCCATTAGCTGCGGAAGTTTCAGGTTGCGTTCTGTTCCTCAACGCTTCCCCATGGGGCAGTGGCCTTGGTACCGCTACTGCTACTGCTGTTTCTGGCGACAGCAGCACTTCATGTATTCCAGTTGTGCAGTACATTATGCAAGACATGATATGCAGGCAAACTGCGGGTTTGTGCTGGCTATGTTGCTTTGTTTCAGAGATGGATATTCGATGCAGGAACTGTTTGTGCGCAAGGTGGGCACACCCGCCTCTATGCCGATGAACAGATGAGCAAAGAGCTCCGTGGAGATGAAGCCGGGCGTTTGACAGGAGACTTGACCTAAGCCATTTTCGATGGATGCAAAGCAGTTTGCAAACAGGTCGACTTGTAGCAGGTAGACCGTTGAGCGCCAGGCACTGCTGGTGAGGAGGCGAGGCTGAATGTATTTGCGGGTTCGGTAGCATGGCAGCTTTGGCCCTTCAACAGTTGCGGATCTGACTCCACACGGTCACACGGTCCCAAGGCGATTCAGACCTGATCCTCGCCGAGGTTGCTCCTGAACCAGGGAGGACAGGCACAATGTAGACAGGCATGCAGGCGTTTCCTCGCAACGACAATTTCTGGCTGTCCAACTTCGTGTATGGCCTTGTGACTTTGGAGGATGCTGGTGTTCTACCACCGCCTCATGCATGAAGGCCCAGGATGAGTTGCGAATTCGCATGAGCTTTCCAGCTTTGCAGCTTGGCTTGGCTGCCAGGCGTTCCGGCAGCAGAGAAGTACATCATCCGCACTGATGTGCTCTACCGCCTTGGCCCGAGCTTTCAGGGTGTAACATAGCTGCTACCTACATGTCCAGCTTTTCCATTACGCACCTGTGAGTGCTTCAAGGTCGTGAGCCCGAGATCTGTACGGCGCCGGAGGATGTCGAGGCCTTCCAAATGTACCAGGAGCCTCGCCTGATGTCGCCTGTGCAAGTTGCTGCACTTGCATATCATATTCAACTTTCACCGGCTTCACCCGAAAGCTTGAAGCCAGCTACCGTGTGCTTGCAAATCCTTTCCTACTGAGTGCTATTCATGCAGGTGGTGACAAAAACCCAAAGAGGCTAAGTGTGCGAATCAGTTCTGAAGCGAAAGGAGGCGCAGCTGCTCGCTGAGAAGGGCGTGCCTTGGACAAAATCTCCATAGTTGCTTGTGGCACCGCGAGCCAGTGCAGGCATAGGCTTTCTTGAAACTGCTGACTGAAGTCCGAATCCAGGACTGCGCAGCTGCAGCAGGCCTTTTCCGCGGCGCCTTTCGCAGAAGCGCCGCCTTGAAGGCAGAGTTGGGAAGCCTCACTTGCAATCTGAACGCAATTTGAAGCTTGGCCCTAAAATCATTGCGCTGTCAAGTGTCTTCATGGTGGAGCTGTTTTTGTCGGGGGTTTGGGCACGCTGCCTGCACATGACGTTTTAGTCCTCTCCGTCAGACCTGGTCCCTTGTGTCAGCGACAATTTTCAGCAAAAAGGCAAGAAGCAGATTTTGATTCAGGAACTTTGGATTCTGCACCAGCGTGACTTACACGAGGTATCTGCCATTGAGTAGTGCCTGTTTGCCCCGCAGTCGTTGCACCATGCTGCACCGCATGTGATAGGAAAGTAGGTCAATCAATGACACCCCTGCGCAATCGACATGCTACAGAGCTCTCTTGCGAGGCGGTCTACCGCATGTGACCAACCTTCTTGGCAAAATGGCGTGCTTGCGAGCAGGCAGCAAAAATGAAGGCTCAGGTTCAGAGAGCCGTGATGGCGCTGGCTGCAAGCCTCGGCTGGCTGGGCATGTGAAATTACCAGCTTCTTCCGTCTTGCAGTTCTTGTCATGCTCCTGGCTTCAAAGTCCAGGCGTGTTCTTGAGAGTGGCCCCACCCCCGCAGGTCTTCGACAACCCTGGGAGCCACAAGGGCGTGCGTGGCAGCAAGGAGCTCAGACCAGTGCCAACAGCCTTTCAAGCTTCGAGGGTTGGAAGTAACAGGAACCAGCTGTCCGTAAGAGTGATTTATAACGGGAACCAGTGCCGTGTGTATTGTCCCGCTTTCGGCTTCAGCTCTCTCTGCAGTAGTTCTGGCCCGGTTGCCGTTACAGGCTTGGAAAAGTGGTTTCCGTTACTCCCAAATTGGTTCCGGTTACTCCCCGCCAGGAGACAGCACTCTCTCCAACTGGTCGTAGGATGTTGTAGGCAGAGACAGCGACGTGCGTCAATCGGATCAGTGAGGTGCAAGCGTCACCGTTGGCCAAAGCCTCAGGAGACTTCCATGCTGCCGCACTATCACATGGAAGCACAGTCGCTGAAGCAGCAGCCTCCTTGTTCGAACAGTGGTCTTCACGGCATCATGACAAGGAGGTCAAGACTCAACCAATAAGGTCTTGGCAAAGGAAGCGCTTCCAAGCCTGGTCAAGGTCTTAGAGCTGAGCTGCAGTCTCGCAGCACAACTGAACTTGCGCCATTGTGAGGGACTCACATCTTTCAGCAAGGTTGAGGATCGGATTCGTAGACAAGTTCAACTATTTGTCATGTCGTCCTAGACCTAAGCCATTGCAAGAGATAAATGCATTGTTGAATTACCCAGGTGCTGGCAAGGACCCTGCTGTCGACTTCGCACTGTGCTGTAGCTGCAGTGCTGTGCGTCACGAAAGCTAGACTCTCTTGGAGCGGAACTTACGTTCTCATTTACATGTCTCATTTGTAATGGCCGGTGAATCCGTGGCTCCGGACCAATTTTAAGGTGTTTACAAAACTGCATTGTCAAGCCCCTTAAATCTTGGTGTCACCAATAGCAAGTTTTCCCCATGGTTTTGCCCCCGCCCCTTCAGACCCTTCAGCAAGGCTTGGCAGTTCCATGTCATTCGAAAGTGCTGTTCAACACTTCAGCCCTGCAACTGCATGGCTCCTTCTCTGCCTTGCGCTGCTGCCTCTAGCTTTCACGGCAGTACTCTCAAGTAGATGACGCAATGGCGCAGAAAGAGGGGTTAATGTCAGAATTTGATCCCTTCAAGTGCAATCGCCTCCTCCTGCTGACTCAACCGGACATAACTCGGATACTACAAGACAACTTCGGTGAGGAGCGGCAAGTGAGCGGGACTCCAGAGACGATGCCGGAGCCTGGAATAGTTTGCAGTGTGTTTGTGCGCGCCTGTTGAGAAGGCCCGGTCGCTTATCAATTCTTATCCACTTTAAGCCCTTGTGTCATTCCACCATATTTTTCTGCCGGGACTGCATTTGGGTAGTCTATGAACGTCCACTTTTTGTATTTCATGTCCGCCATGGACAGAGAGAATGAAGATGGATAGGTGCAAAGAAGTCCTATGAAGCGAATCCGAGTCGCATTGATACTTTCCATCTACCTTCAAAGCGTGCTGAGAGATGTTATCAGAGCTGTTAGCAGTACTGACTGCTTGTCCTCAAGCATGTGGAATCTAGGAACCACAAGCTCAGCGGCCATGGATCCATGCAGTTGCCAGCAGGAGCTGCTCTACGTCGCAGCTTGCGGCGACCCTAGATGGGTTCCACCGGCTTCAGACAACCAGGAAAACATCGAACCAGGGGGAGTTGATTGCAGGTGGAGGAGTTCTTGATCCAGCCTCCTTGGATGTCCAGTGCGGTGTCAGCCATGGACCCAGAGACCATCCTGGTAGTGGGTAATAGGTTTGAAAAACATACCGAAATTAGAAAGATTCAGGGCTGCCTTTGAGCACCTCTCTCTCCGCAGAGAAGGGCCCTGAGCCACGTCACGTTCCGCAGCTTTTCATTTGCTGGATTGGTGTTTGCGCTTGCTGAAGCGAAGCCAGCAACTCTCCATGATCCGTTCTCCACTGCTTCCCTTGGCGCTAAAGCAATACGGAACTTGTGCACTTTGTTATTGCCGGCCCATGCAGGCGCTGTAGCGATACGGAACTTGCGCACTTTGTTGTTGCATTTTGGCTTGGAGACATCATCATCATCACCATCATCATCATCATCAGAATCAAAAACAAGTGCATGAACCTCACTCAAAAGGTCCTAGAGCAAAGGCCTCTGCGTCTGATTCTGATCCCTGCCAGGCTTGGCTGACGGCTCTGAGCTCCCAGAACCGTCTGAGGCTTAAGGCAACAATGCTTCGGCAAGGCAGGTTAAGGGTGTGAGCAGGTGTCGAAGCCTTTCACGCTCGGCATGAAGCTGAGGTTGCGCTTGACATTTCGGGACGAACATCCACTCATGCAGGGGACCCGGTCAGCTTTACGACAACTCCTGGCAATGGCCGGGTGCCCTTCCGGCTTTTTTTGGGCATTCATCCACCCAGGCATCATTTGCGTGGTTTTCCGGCATGTCCCAATGCTGGCGACATACGTATTTCCAGAAGCCAAAAAAGCGCCCCATACCTTTTTTTCAAGTTCCGTTCCAAAGCCTGATCTCTGCAATACTTCGCGTACACATCCCTTGCCCTCCTACTCAGCATCTCAGACTTAGACAATGCGGTGAGTAAGTCCACGCCTTGTGCAACTCGGTGGCAAGGCTTGGCAGCGCTAACGTTGCTGCCCAGCTGCACCGCCTGGCAATCCGCGGCTCCGTGTCACTGCATCCTGGCTGCACCCTTTTTCAGACTCGAAAAACAGCAGCCCCCAAAAGTCCTCAAATTGTCCCAGCCTTCACGCCGGTTCTCCAAGCAACCCAGGTGCGATAGCATTTTATTATGCCTTTAGGCCTTCATGGTAGCTGGCCAGGCGGCAAGACCTTCCCATGCAGCGGAAGCGTGCAAACTCGACATGGCTTTGAAGGGGGGGGCTATGGGGGGCTGCTGGCGTGGGGTTCGGAAGTTGACTTCGTCGTAGCTCCGTAGCTCGGCCAGGATTTGCTGCAACTTCCGACGGCGGACTTCAATTTCGAAGCTGCGCTGTCCTTGGAGGCTGGGGGCGCTTTGCAGGTGCCAATGCTGTTGCGAATCGATCCATTTTTCACCAGGAGGAGACATCGTTTGTGGATGATGGTTTCTCCACGGCAGCTTGGCTGAACTGGCCATTGTGCGTTCAGTTTGGACAGCAGCATAACCTTCAGTCCAACTGTTTGGCCGTCCGAGCCCCACTGTGTCGCTAGCTAAAGCACAGCTTTACACCTGCAACCCAGGTCCGCTTCCGCGGAGTTGAAGGCCAGGCAGGCTAGTTCCGCAGCCCGAAGGGCCCGAAGCAAGGTGAAGCAAGCATGCTGACGAGCAGGTTGTTTGTGAAACAGGTACAGCTGAAGGCCGCCTTTGGTCCGAGTCGGAGGTCTTTCCCTCGGCTTTCAGCTTGGTTTCGCTATGTTTCGCTTGGTGAATCCAGAGCTTGTAGCCATCCTAGCCGGGAGACGGAGCCTGCCCTTGGCCGGTCCAGGTCCGCACAGCATTTTGGGTTTGAAAGCACAGCTCGCGCCGCTAGCTCGCTGATGATGGTTGTACACGTGCAGTGCGCTTAGATACGCGGGGTATTTTGTGGGCATGGCTACACCAGCCGGTTCATGATCGGAAACTGGGTGTGCCTCCCATCGTGCTGTTGGGGTCTGATGCGAGTGCTGAACAAGCTTAGCTTCATGCTACTCCATATTGCCTGAGATACGGTTCTGTAGGGGAGAAAGAGCTGTACCATGTTCGGTTAGATTACCTGGTGCATTTCGGGCGTTTGCTGCGGTAGCTGGATGTCAGATCCCACAACTGTGGCGCTCACAATATTTTGTGCAAGGCGCATGCCTTGTGTAGCGTAGCAGAAGCTACGTGCCCAAATTCTCGCAGCGGCCGCATCCACACAGCTTGCAGGCGCCGCAAGTGCAGCAAAGGCAATGCTAATGCACACGGACGGCAGTTATAGCCACTTCTCATTACCTGCACCAGCCCAGAGCATTGCGCTGACACCCAAGCGCAAAGATAGTCAAAGAGCATGAGGTTACAGCAAACAAACAAGCCTGTACCAGTGTCATGGCATAAGTTCTGGAGCGTTTTTTGGTATGGGTGACATCAAGCGGAGACATTACATGACATTGTTCAGTCTAGGCCTAGGCATGGCCCAAACATGGATTGCTCAGAAGGCGTCCAGTTCTGCTAAAAACTGGGCAGCGCAGCGGCAAGAGCTTATGCGGAAGGCTGAGGAGAGGAGAGAACAGATTGCGCAAGGGCAGCTCACAGAGGAGCACACATTCAAGCCCGCTGTTCCCCGTACACCTCGTTTGTCGCGCCCATCCACCAGCAAGCTGACCAAGGTGGTGAAGACAGTGAGCACGGCAACTCAGACAGAAAAATCCGAAGCCAAGGCAAAGCCAGACAGGCCCCGGTCACAGGGTCGGACGGTGTCACCCTGTCGAAGCGTGAGTCCTCAGCAGCAGTGCTCGGAACGCCTTAGCTCGCTCACGGCAAGTTTTGCACAGCGAAACGTTGCCAGGCTGCCTAGCGCAGCACCGCTGTCTGTCCCATTGCAGAAGTGGATGCCAGTGAGTTTCCAGAAGGATTCGCAGAGCTTGGCAGCATTGGCTTTAGCGGTGGTCGGCACGTTGCAAAATGTTGCTGGTGCTAGTCCCGTCAGTGCCACTCCTGCTAGCCCTGAGCACGCTGGATCCGTGCCACATGGTCTACAACAGGTAGAGGAGGCAGCTGACCTGGCATCGCCAGTGCCAGCCGGACATCTGTGTACAGACTCGTCTCTCGAGGATGTTCATTCAAAGTCCAACTCGCAAC